CTTGAACCACTAGACATAGAACTTTCTAGGAATGTGAAAATGTTATGTTCATCTTTGCATCCCAACACCAACAACACACCCATAGAATATAATATAAGTTTGCTAAATGTTTTTGACCTATGTTGATCTCTGTGTGCTAAAAATTCATAAAATTTTGTGCCATAGAAACCTAACTTTTTACTTTGATCATTACAAGATTATAAAACATTTTAGACATATAAAATGTAAAAGGTAATTTTGTCACTTCAATTAAATGTACTTTTAACCACAAATGAGTATTTATCCAGCCTTTGAGAACAAATTTGGCATCGTTGAAATAAAATATTAAATAAAATGGTTAAGAAAGTATAATAGAGAAAATTATTCTAAGCCTACATTTTTGGAGGGAGAGGGATTAATCTTCTAAAATTTTCATGATTAATGAAAGAATTGTAACACTAATTTTACCTTTTTAATCTTCTTTAGAGGTCTATTTGTCAAAGGCAGAAATTTTCAGGGGAAAAAAAGACATTACTTTGGCAATTCTAAACTATGCCCAGGCAATTAAGTGTAGGCCCACAGATGCTGATATCTATTTCAGGAAGGGCGAAATGTATGAAATAGAAAACAGAGTGCTGGCCATTGACGACTTTACTAAGGTAAGCTTTATCTCATATAATGCTGCCATTTATATATTTTAAATCATGATATTATCATGCTAATAGTATAGCAAGTTTTAAAAAGTCTTTTCACATATATAATCAGTTAATTTATTATAGGTTAGGAGCTAGAGTTTTCATTACTGTAATTAGTATTTATACTACATTACTTTTTAAAATTATTGGTGAATGAATAGATTCACATCAAAGAGTTGAGTGTGGGGACATGGAGACAACCATGAAGGGGTCTCAATTTTTCCAGCTCTCTTCTCTTGAACCATGAATCAGTGGTTAAAGAAGCCTTTGAAAATTGCTTCTTTCCTTCAAACAATAGAGAAAATTGTTTTCTACTTGTTAATTTTTTGAATAACTGATTCTTTTCTGCAGGGAACCTGTTTTTAGAGAAGCTGTGATTACTGATTCATTAATCCGTTCATTCATCACTCACAAATATTTATTTACTGAGGCACTGCATAATGTAGTGGATATACATATCATTACAAATTATGATGAGCGCTGTGAAGAAAATAAGGATGGTGGTAGAGTAGTTTGTATTTGGTTGGAGGATGTCAGGGAATGTGAGGACACGAACTTTTAGCTGAACTGTACTTGGAGGCTAGAGTCAAGGTGAAATATTTCCCTGGTTGCAGCACAATTGTAATTCTGATTTCCTGACCTTTAACTCCAAATTTTTAGTCTTTAGTACAATTGAGAATTTATGAGAAATTATTTAAATAATTTACCTTTCCATGTTCCTGATTGCTCTGTTTCTTAATCCATGGCAGTTTAGCCATTTACTTGAAATTCTTCTGCTTGAAGAGAATATTATATGTTTTGTAACTTCTGGTCTGCAAGTGACCAAAAACTCTTTTGAAGATACGGAAATTATCATCTATTCTGTTTTTTTCCCCCACCTGACACCAATAGTTTAAAAATAGATTTAACGTAACACATTGAGGTCAAACAAGTTTCAAAATCTTTAGCTTTTTTGTTTTTTTCTGTTCTAAAAATACTTGCTAACCTCCTTTGTGCTTCAATTCTTTTCCACTACCAATAGGCAAAGAGCTTTATAACTGAGTAATGATTTAGTCTGATCATTCTATTGCCTTGAACATCAATGTGAAATGAATGAACCACGCCAATACCAATTCATTTCTCTTCCCTGTGTTAATGGCCAGATTAACTTTGATTTGATTGAATCAGCCTTTATATAGTCTAATATGTTACACCTTTAATTCAGATTAAATGCTATGATAGATCCAATAAACTCCACTTTAGTTGAACAATTCTTTTATGAATTTTTATCAGTAAAAATTTCAGTGGGCAAAAGTCTTGACTTCTTGTATATACTGTTTGTTTTTTCTCTTAGATAATATTTCCCCTCTAGAATTTGTTGATGGGTGCATTTTGTAAAGATACGTTCTTTAGATGCAAAGCTGGAAATTTTGTCATCTTAAAGAGATTTGCTTTTATGTAATCTGAAGTGGTTGTAATTCACTTAACTTGTTATGTGGTTACATACTTTTCTTAGTTCTTTTTCATTATGTGATGTTTATGTACTTCTCCCCACCACTATAGTGTATTCATTATGATCCCAAAAGAGCAGATGCATTATTGAAACGTGGGCTGTTTTATTTTGAAACTGAAAACTGGATTGCAGCCATACAGGATTTTACAGCCTTGTTAAATATAAATCCCCAAAATTCTCAAGCAAGGTAAGAATTATTTTAGATTTCATTTTTGAAATTATAAGATGCATAAATGACAATTTAGAATCATTCCGTTTGTATTTCCTAAATATTATTAACGTTAATCAATTTCTAAAACATTGACTACCACCTATATTATTCTTCCTTGCATTTTTTATTTTAGAAAATATTTTATTTTAAAATGTATGGGTTTATTTGTCTTTAAAAAAATTTCAGGATTAGTTTCATATAACCAAAAGATTTAGTGTATTGAACATCTTTACAGAAGAACCAGTAAACAATATCTTACCTGAACTGTGAATTTTTTAAGGTTACGATAAGGTGAGAAAAGAATTATTACTTGGAAAAACAGAAAAGGCAAAGGATAGTAATAGTGTACAAGGTTTTAGAAGGAAGTTGGACATTTGAGCATCACTCAACTCTTCAGTGACTTCTATCACTTATACTTTATTGCAAAAATGAATTACAATCATTTTTGGTCCTCTGTCTCATTTTATTTTTTATTGTCAGTGAAGCAATCAGTAAAACAAACCAAAAACAAACTTCTCTGTTTTAGACAAGGAAACCGAGGAGATGAAAAGTTAAAGGGTTTGCCCATGGTTGGGGCTGAGGAATAAAGGGAAAACAGAAGGTGGAGAAACCCTCTAGGTTCTGCTTAGAGAGAATTTAGAAATTGCTTTTTAAGACAAGGCATTATTTTTTATTTCAGCATATTATAGGGGTATAAATGTTTAGGTTACGTATATTGCCCTTGCCCCCCTTCCCCACCAGTCAGAGCTTCAAGCGTGTCCATCTCCCAGACGGTGCGCATCGCACTCATTATGTATGTATATACCCGTCCCCTCCTCCCCACTCCCATCTGCCCGATGCCCGATGAATGTTATTCCTATATATGCAGTCAGGTGTTGATCAGTTAAAACCAATTTTCTGGTGAGTACATGTAGTGCTTGTTTTTCCATTCTTGGTATACATCACTTAGTAGAATGGGTTCCAGCTCTATCCAGGAAAATATAAGAGGTGCTATATCACCATTATTTCTTGTAGCTGAATAGTACTCCATGGTATACATATACCGCATTTTATTAATCTGCTCATGTATTGATGGACACTTGGGTTGTTTCCACATCTTTACAATTGTGAATTGTGCTGCTATAAACATTCGAGTGCAGATGTCTTTTTTATAAAATGTCTTTTGTTCTTTTGCGTAGATACCCAGTAATGGGATTGCTGGATCAAATGGTAGACCTACTTGTATCTCTTTGAGGTATCTCCATATTGCTTTCCACAGAGGTAGCACTAGTTTGCAGTCCCACCAGCAGTGTATGAGTGTTCCTGTCTCTCCACATCCACGCCAACATTTATTGTTTTGGGACTTTTTGATAAAGGCCATTCTCACTGGAGTTAAGTGCTATCTCATTGTGGTTTTGATTTGCATTTCCCTGATGATTAGAGATGTTGAGCATTTTTTCATATGTTTTTTGGCCATTAGTCTATCTTTTTTTAAAAAGTTTCTGTTCATGTTCTTTGCTCACTTTTTGATAGGGTTGTTTGATTTTTTTCCTTGCTGATTTTCCTGAGTTCTAAATAGATTCTAGTTATCAGCCCTTTTATGGATGTGTAGCATGCGAATATTTTCTCCCTTTTGTAGGATATCTGTTTGCTCTCATGATAGTTTCCTTGGCTGTGCAGAAGCTTTTCAATTTGATTGAGGTCCCATTTATTTATTTTTGTTGTTGCTGTGATTGCCTTTGGTGTCTTCTTCATAAATTCTTTGCCTAGGCCAATGTATGTAAGAGTTCTTCCAACATTTTCTTCTAGAATTCTTACAGTTTCATGCCTTAGGTTTAAGTCTGTTACCCACTATGAGTTGATTTTTGTGAGAGGTGAAAGGTGCGGATCCTGTTTCAGTCTTCCATGTGTGGCTATCCAATTTTCTCAGCACCATTTATTGAGTATGTTTTTGTCTGCTTTGTCAAAGATTAGATGGCTATATGAGGATGGTTTTATATCTGGGTTCTCAGTTCTGTTCCATTGGTCTATGTCCCTGTTCTTGTGCCAGTACTATACTGTTTTAATTATTATAGCCTTGTAGCATAGCTTGAAGTCTGATAAATTGATGCCTCCCAATTTATTCTTTTTGCTTAAGATGATTTTGCTATACAGGGTCTTCTCTGGTTCCATACGAAGCATAGAATAAACATTCACCAGTGTAAAATCATCCACAAGCTGAAGATCAAAGGCCAGATACCACAATGGCTCAAGAGAGAAAATAAAGCAACAAAGTTCAACTCAACAGGATGAATAGAAATCCTCCCCTCTTATCAATTCTTTCAATAAATTTGAATAGCTTGAACTTCTCACTAAAGAGATGTATTAATACTTTTTAACTTCAGAATTTCTATTAGGCTCCATTTATAAATTATCTATGAATCGATATCTATCAACATCAATAATTTCTTTAGTTCTTTGTCCATTGTTTCCTTTAGCTCTTGGAGCAGATTTAAAATGGTTGATTTAAAGTCTTTGTCTGGTAAGTCCAATGTCTGGGCTTCCTCAGGGACAATTTATTTTAAATATTTTTTTGTCCCATGAATGGGCCATACTTTCTTTTTCCTTTGCATTATTTGTATTTTTTTGTTGTTGAAATGTAGACATTTTGAATATAATGTGGCAACTTGAGATATCATATTTACTCTCCTTCCCACATTTTTCTGTTGCTGCTTCTTGTCATTCATATTTGTTTAATAACTTTTCTGAAATAATTTTGTGAAGTCTGTATTTTATTTTGTCATGTGTGGCCACTAAAGTCCTTATTCTTTTAGCTTGGTTGTCAGCTAGTGATTTGACTGAGATTTCCTTAAACTCCTGGCACCAAAAAATCAAGACAAAACTCTCTTAGTCTTTGCAGATTAACTCTGTCAGCATCCTTCTTTAATGTTTATCCAGGCAGTTATAACTTTAGTGCTTTAGCTTTCACCTCCTGCTTATGTGAAACCTGAATCAACCAAAGTGGAGCGCTTAGGATCTTCTTAGATCTTTTCTGTTCATGCTTCCATCCCTCTTGTACATGGCCTTCTAGATTCCTTGGAGTATGTGGAAACTTTTCAAAGCTCATATTCCCGAAGTATCTTCTTCCCCAACTTATTCCTTATCAGACTTTTCATTTTGTCTATTGCTTGCCCCAACTGTTATCCATTGCTCCAGGTGAGAGTAGTTAATACATTTGCCATTAAATGATTTTGATAAACACCATTCAGGAAGCTACCTCAGTTCTGGGAAAGTTCTGAGGCA